AAGTTATGCTCCAATATTTTAGTCTCATATTAAGACCTATTTTTGGCATAGAAAGTGATTGAATTGGATAATGATGTCTGAATTAAAGTTGTAGCCAGATGAGTTAGCTTTCCAGCGCATTTTGAATCGCCTCAATCGGATATCGAAATACAAAGTTATGATAAAAATACTGAAGGAATGTACAGCTGCCTGTTTAAAACAAGAAATTCCGTTACATAATCCGTTAAAACAACAAATTACGTTAGTTTTTCGGTTAAAAACAAGAAATTCCGTTACATAACCACTTTTAATATATAGAAGATATGAAAATTTTAGACATAAATATATGTCGACACAAGGGTTCACCTCGAATTGGTCAATGAAGTCTTTTTATCCAAATCAAATTGGACAGTATGGAAGGTCAATCCAAGGTTCCACTCACGCATATCGAATCATGGGAGACGCTATCTGAATTTATCATCATGACATTTCCCGACAGTATATCCAAATAAAGTCATGGAAGGTCGACCCAAAATCCTATCCATGCAGGTCGAACCAAGATAAACGTCATCTGAATACATCATCATGACACGACTGAAAATGTTTCATGAACGATGACATCATTCTAGACAGTAAATCAAAATAAAGTCATGATAGGCTACATACATGCATATAGCCTAAGCATTATGATGACCTTGCCACCGTCGATCTCTGAAGCCAATCAAATATTTTAAAAAAGGGCAATGTCACGTAGATCTAGGTTGGATACTGTAACTTGACATGACTAAGATGAAAAACTCAAATTCGGTGAACTACATAAGAGAATAAAACTCCAAGGAAATGGATTGAGTTGTAATATTACTTTCGCTAGAATACCAAGAAAATTACATCCTTATTACTATCAAACATTACACAAATATTCTATCGTAATTTATTAAGTTGATTAAAAAGAGTCGCCACATTTTTAGTCATCAACAAAATTGTAGTCTTTAATGAACAGATTATTTCTTAAATACTGAAACTATAAAGTGAATGCTTAATTTCTTTTTTAAAATTAATTTTTCACTTTATAAAAATGAAATTCTATTTAATATCTCGGCCTTCTCCCTCTATATATACCCCTTCCATTCTTCCACATTTACAATATTTCTCCTCTATAACCACTGCCACTTCCCTTCACAGATCACAATTTCTTTGTTAAATCTGGGAAATTGTTATCAATTCCAATAAAAGGGATGAGAAATCTCTGTTTTTCGCCAAAATCTTCGTCTTCTTCTTCATTTGTAACATCTCACTTTCCTTCACCCTGCCGAATTGGGCTATCACCTTCTCGGCCGAGTTTCTCTGAGTCAGTAATGGACAAGACTTTAGAAATGGCGGAACCAATGATCGTAAAATGGAACCCGGAATCCACTACTCTTGCCAAAGTCACTTCTCTGTTTTACGAGAATCGTAAGGAGGCACGGGACTTCATCGAATCTGTGAATAATCTCCAGAAGGCCATGCACTTAGTTGCAGGAGATTCGAATTCGGAAAAATTAGTCCGTTGCCAAATGCTAATGCAAATTGCCATGAAAAGACTCCAGAAGGAGTTTTATCAGATTTTATCCCTGAATAGAGCTCATTTGGATCCGGAATCTGTTTCGACTCGGTCCTCCTGTATCTCAACTCGATCAAGCACCTCTGACTATAATGACGATGAGGACGATGATAAGATAGTGATCGAGTCCATATCTGAAGTTGAAGATGCCTCAAGTATTGCAATGGCTGATCTTAAATTGATAGCCGAGTGCATGATTTCTTCTGGTTATGCAAAAGAGTGCATAAAAATTTACAAAATTATTCGAAAATCTATAGTCGATGAAGGTATTTATCGGCTCGGGGTGGAAAAATTTAGTGCTTCACAAATTCATAAAATGAATTGGAATGTTTTGGATTTGAGAATTAAGAATTGGCTTAATGCTATGAAGGTTGCAGTCAAAACTCTATTCAATGGAGAAAGAATCCTCTGCGATCACGTTTTTGCGAGTTCAGATTCGATCAGAGAGTCGTGTTTCACCGAGATTTCTAAAGAAGGGGCGATGATTTTGTTCGGATTTCCAGAAAATGTGATGAAAAACAGCAAGAAATCGCCGGATAAACTGTTTCGAGTACTCGATATGTACACCGGAATCTCCGATCACTTGCCGGAGATTGATTCCATATTCTCCTTCGATTCAACGGATAGTGTCAAGTTCCAGGCTCTGACGTCACTCGTCAGGCTCGGCGAGTATGTGCGGACGGCATTGAATGAATTCGAATCCACCATCCAGAAAGATTCTTCTAAATCTCCGGTGGCCGGTGCCGGAATTCACCATCTCACAATTGATGTGATGAATTACTTGTCAATCCTTGCCGATTATAGCAATATTCTTTCAGATATACTGGCCGACTCACCACAACCTCAGAAGAATTCATTGCCAGAGAAATCTCTATTCGGATTCTCCGACGCAGAGGAATATCCGACGCCAGCAATTTCTCTCAAATTCGCTTGGCTTATACTCGTTCTCCTCTGCAAACTCGACATAAAAGCAGAGTATTATAAAGAAATTTCCTTCTCTTACTTATTTTTAGCCAATAATCTTCAATACATAGTTGCGCGGGTATGGACATCTAATCTCAAATACATCCTCGGAGACGAATGGTTATCGAAACATGAATCCAAGGTCACACTATTTTCGTCAAACTACGAGCGGCTAGGATGGAGCCATGTCATCGACTCTCTCCCAAAGAATCCAACGGTTGGGATTTCTCTCGACCAAATCAAGGAAATTTTCAAGAATTTTAATTCGTCGTTTGACCAGGCATACCAAAAGCACTCTTTGTGCATCATAGCAGATAGAAAACTCCTAGACGACATAAAGGCATCGATAAGCAAGAAGATTGCACCGGTTTATCGAGAGTTCTATAATGCACATTCGGCTAAAATGAAGAGTAGAAGAAATTTGACACACGTAATCAAATTTGCACCCGAGAATGTGGAAAATCGCCTCTCGAATCTATTTTTTGGAACAGTCGAGTAGGGGAGATCATTTGCTTCGTCATCATCACACTCACAACCATCAGGGTCCCATTGAGATAGAGAAATAGTAAATAGATGTATGGTGTATGTATATACAACATTGCTAGTTTTGAGTGATTATGAATTATGATAGTGACAATTTTTAATAAATCGTGTTATGACACTTCTAAATTCGTCTCCCTATCATCCTAGTCGACTCTAATTGGATATATATATCTCATCTATAAGCTTCAATGGTGTTTTGATTTTTAAAAAAAAAAAAGGCGAAAAAAGCATTCAATCTTCACCCTAATAACAAAAATCAAGGCCAATAGGCCATAACAATATTATTAGTGATTGAGCCTACAAATTTGAGCAAAGTCTTCCAAATACACCAACTTTCTTTGTCATGTTCTTTTTCTTGTCTAGTTAACAACAAATCTGCAATTTTGGTGTTCTTTTGACTCGTTTTTCGGCTTGAACCATAAAGTTAACGAACTATAAGCGATGAGATTGACTAATAGAATTAAGGAAGATTGTTTAAAGTAAATGTTGAGGTTAAAAGAAAATCTCTATCAAAGTCCACTATCGCGCCATTTAATACGTTCCAAAGTAGTGGTAGCAAACGGGCCGAGTGGCTTTTCGGCTCTTGGACGACTTTGACTCGTCATTTGACGAGAGCACGACCGAGCCGAGCAGAGCCGAGCCGAGCCGAGCCAACGAGCTCACCCACAAGCCGCCTTGTGGCCTCGTCGAAAATGAAAGGTATATCTTCTTTTTTTTAAAAGGTTTATCTTTATAAAAAAAAATTACGAGCTCGTGTGCATACGGAGCGAGCCGAGCCGGCTCTGCCCATTGCCACCTCTATTCTGAAGTAATTGAACAAATGAAATTAATAACAAATATTGTGCAGTCGACTTCAAATTAATTAAAAATAAAATTTAATTTGTTAATGTAAAGCATGTTACACAAATTTGAATTTTTTTATTTTTATTTTTTTCTCATATGATAAGATCATTGGAAAATTGGAACTAGGACTAGTCTTTTATTTATAGCAAATTGCCATAGGTCTGAAGAAGATAGATAGAAAAGACAGTTTTACTACATGTACATTAAATTTGATATCAGGGACAACGATGTTTGACGTGGCAGTTAGCGTAGTTCTAGAAAGGATCCTTTTAATGGGAAGTCAAAAAAAAATGTTAGGGGCGAGTTATATTTTCCGGATTTATTTTCGATTAAAAAGAAAAGGCAAATAAATTCTTGAAGAAAATATATTTCTTCCAGAGGATAATAATTTCCACTAGAAAAATAAAATCAAGCAGAAGCTTCTGTTCATGAATATTATTCATTTTTAGTAGTTCAAAATTGACCGCCGAATTTTGTTGGTGTTGGAAGTCATGACTAATAACTAATTTAATTATTTTTTTAAAAAAACAATCCTTTCAATCTTTTTTGAGTCAAGAGGGAGATTCTAGCAGTTCTTCTGACGTAAGGTTGTACTTGTGTTTTATTGTGTTTGGATAGCGAAGTTCGAGCATGGATCTTGTCGAGCCATAGTTTCAGTACGGGTTTGATGAAAGGTTAATGGTCTTGAGTTCAAAATTTAGCCACCAAAGTACGAAGAATCAACATATAACGATATATAAACGAACATGTTCATCATCACTCATGCAAGTCGTACTTCCAATATTGTGTGTGTGTAGCTCATGTTTCGATCTGAATTTCGCATCAGATAAGTTTGTTGTTGTCGATCTGAAGTTCATGTCGGATAAGTTGAAGGCTTCACTTGACTCGGTTAAGAAGGGGTTGCACGTCGAAAATTTCAAACATAAAAATCTCGACAGCTTTTCTTAATACCCCCGATGATGGCAAAGGTCAAGGTCAAACTACTGGAAACATTAATGGAAGCACCATCATGATATGACAAAGGAAGTGATCCCTTTTGACGACAACACCACTCTAATCGACCAATCGGGACAATAACTTGATAACGTAGGGTACATGCCTAGGGGCTAAATTTTCATGACTCTGTCCCAGTCGATCTCTCCAACCAATTGAATCCCTTCAAACGGATGGTGACACACAATCCTATCGAATCACTGTAACTTGACATGATTACGATGACAATCTCAAGCCCCACGACCTGTATAGAGGGATGAGGGGCAAGTGAAAATGGGATCCGAACTTAAAAAAAAAAAATCTTCGTGGACTATTAAAATTGATTGGAAAAGTGTGTGAGTCATTTTTTGCCATCAATAGTCCACAAACCAATTATTAATAATTACCAAAATTCTACATTTGTATATTCATATATGAAAACCAAAATCTTGGAATTGAAGAAATTAAACACGATGGTGGGAACGTGAAAATTTCCGAGCGTTTTTCAAAGAAAAAAAAAAAGGATGAAGATTACACATTTAGGAGAAAAGAAAAACGGCACAAACTTGTATTTTTGCTATTATACTCTTGCAGAGAAGTCCAATGTTGCTCTCCAACCTCAAACATCAAATTTCCTTCTCGGAGAAATGTCCGCCACCTACTACTATTTCTTTTAAAAGTTTAGACTTTTCATTTGGCAAAAAAATTTAAATCGTTTATCAATTGTGACAATTTCTTTTCCCCGATAGAACCTCCGTCTTTGTGTCCACTTATTCGTCTTATATTTCTATCTGTTATAGATTAAACAGTTTATAAATTCTTTCCAAACGGAGGCTAAATTCATTAAGAAGAGATTGTTGTATTCATAAATCTTTCTTTAACCATTAATTTACATTAATTTCTTATTTTTTTTAATAAGTAATTGTAATTTCATTAATTTCCTTCTTTTGTTTTTTTTTTTTATATGTTCCCCTTCAAATAAAAAAAAGGGCATGAAAATTTGTGAAACAACGTATGAACGAGAGGGAGTTTAACTCTTCCGAGCCAGCTTGCGCGCACCTCCACTAATCCCACGGGACCCTGAATTAAAAGTTTACATAAATTGGTTCTTTAAAATAAACATCTTCTTTCTTTATTATTAGACTTTTTAACAAGCATTGTTTTGTGCATAAGATAATTGACTTATGAGGTCCATTAACAAGCAATTTTCAAATTTCATTTATTTTGGGTCAACGAAAGAGACGAGAAGAAACCAGAAGCCAGAGACGGCGTGTTAAGAAATTAGACAGCATGCATAAATTTATGTTGGAAAATAAGTGATTATGTTGAAAATTTTGTTGGACCAAACACAAAAGTCAAATTTTGTATACGGCAGCTGAAAATAATGCCACATTTTCCTTATTTAGCTATAATGTACAGAATCGGAATGCAACGGCACACTATCAACAAAAAGGAGCTTCTTCGAAAGAAAACAGTAGAGGAAATAGTATATACTTTAAGCACGTATAAAACTAAGAAACGATGGGCTGATCAGCAGGTAGAGGGATACGCTGCCACCCAGTGCAGTGTTCAAGAAAATGTTTCAAAGTATCGGTCGGGGGTTCTACAGTCCATGTCTCATAAAATTCGCTAGGACAAAACATACAAGTTTTGCTGGGGATCGGTATCAAGCCTGCTTGAGTTCCACTAACAAATAAATCACCTTCTGATTTAATACAGCCAGTACATCCCTCTTCCCTGTCTGCCGCCTACAGAGCAATACCGATGAGTTCAGTCATGTTTTTTTTAAGTAATACGAGTCCTAATAATGCAATTTCTCAGGACGCGATAAGACTAAGCAAATTTCCTACCCCAAATACACAAATATATAAGAATAGAAAACAGGCTACTTGTGTGCGCGTGCGTGCCTTTCTTGCACCAATATTATATGTAACGACACGGCCTCTATGCCCCAACCGTTATATCATATGTATTGTATGCTTAGAAAGCTTCAACACATCTTACGAATTTTTGTCACATCCCCCAAGCTTCACACTCAAGCCTCAATTGGTATCATGATTCATTTTAAGTCTCTCATAAGGCAGGGTTCATGAGTTTAATCAATGGGGGACGCGATATAAATTCATGAGAGGTAAGAGAGGTTGAGGCTCTCCCAAAGTGGACAGTACGTACAATATAACAGGTTGAGCACAGAGACTAGGTCGTTACACTATATGCTCCATATTGCATCAATACATGTTGAGTAGACTGCTAAATGACATTAGCTTGCCAGAAAGTATAGCAAATTCAACTAGCTTCGTTAAGAGGGAGTACTTAAAGTGCCAATGAGGGCAGCCACGAACTTTATATAAGTAAAGTGCAACAATCATGCTATTCAACTTAAATTTAATTCTTGGATGAAAATAGATAATTTTCTAAAACAGAGCCAGTTAATCTTCGACTCTTTTCTGCAACAACAGACATAATAAATTCAAGGTTTGCCAAATGAACATCAATATTACTATGCCAGATTATATGTTTTACCTTTTCAGTGAGATATTTGAAAACTAATTTCTTGTGTCCGGCTTCATATATGTTGCATTGGGAATATATCTGAGAAAAGTATACGAAAGAGTAGTTAAGAAGAGATAAATAGCTATATCCTGAAATATGTTCAAGCCAACACAAGGGTATGCGATGTTACAATAAATTACCTGTGACTCTACACTTGCACAAACAGCATAAATTCCCCAGTTTCTGGTATAATTATTGTAGAGATGAACTTTTGCAAATCTAACACGCGGATGCCGCTGTCGAGTCCCATCAAAGAAACAATGATGAATGGTAACCAGCATACACCTGTCTCCTGTGTTCGAAGGATCTGCCCCTATAAGTATGGTTTTATCATGATTGAAGAAATGACACCTGCTTTCAACAATACAATGATTAAAGACATCAAAAAGGGGGGGAAATCATTATTTGTCAAATTTCAAGATACAAATTATATCTAACCGAGATATAGTAATATCCGTGCTCATTCTACTGATATCTATCAATCCATCGTCATAGTCAGTAAGACTACAACGATCAATCCAAATATGCTTTGAATTTGGTTTAATCTGAATGCCATCAATGTCATGTCCTCTACCCCCTTCGAACTCTAGATTGCAGATAATCACATGTTCACACTCTTTCAACCTCAATCCTTTCCCTTTGAGTTTAATCCTTTGACCACGTCCATCAATGGTCTTATAAGATGACACATTCAGATAAGATGAGAGCTCAATGGTGCCTGAAACTGTAAAGACTATCCATAGGGGTTCTTTCTGACGACATCCATAACGAAGTGATCCAGGCCCGTCATCTGCAGATTCTCATAAGAGTTAGTCATTACACAATAATATCAAACACGGAAAAGATGAAATCACTAAACTAGCCATTTATTTTATCATGATATATTAATGATAGCCAGAGTGTAAATGCTTTCAAAACACGATATAAAAACACCAAAAAGATGTAATTAAATGAATATGGATACACTTGAGAAACTCTTATACGTGTACGTAAATGATCTTTCTTTTGCTAGTTTAGCAATAACCACTACCACCCAAAACACTGAAGAGCTACATAATAAGAACAAATAATAGCGGCGGTAATAGCATCTGCAGTAGCAGCAATACATCAAACCTGATTTTATAACCTTCGATAAAACAATTAAAGCTAGAGTTCATTTACATAAATGAGAAAACAGGAAACAATGAATGCATACTTCACGAGTAAAAACTTGACATTCGTGCTAATAGCTTAGAAGCTCAGATTAATGTAGAACCGTCCTTTTCTCAACATGATACATAATTTCCATCCTAGTATTTTATACGAGTAGTGCAATAAATCACATTTTTGTTTGGCAAGTATGAGGCTTTAGCAAAGCACAATTATTTTACATGAGGACTTCTTATTCCAAAGTCCCAATTCAAGTAGTCCAATGGTTTTGATGAACGATTACTTTACGTGTGGACTTCTTGTTCCAAGATCCCAATTCAAGTAGTCAGTCCTATGTCTGATGTTACAGACCGCTAATCAAATTGTACTAGTACATTTTCAAAATGATTGGCATATTTTTTTATACCATCCTTCCAATAAGCGTTCTTCCAAACATGCAAGCATCGAAATTTCAAACACGAAGACAAAAGATAAATTCTAAAGAACAATAAATTAAACTTTTGCATTCTGGATAATATTATGATCTGTATACTTCTTTTGAAAAAAAAAAATTCTCCAACTTTCCCTACTACTTTTCAACATCCATCAAACTATCAGTCTTTTTTCCTTTGGTAACATGGGGCATTTTCTCTTATAACTAGCATTCACCATCTATTGAACACACAAACACCCCTTCCCTACCCATAAACCCACAATGCAATACAGCAATTCAGCAAAATAGAATAACAAAACGATGAAAAGAAAATTAAAAACAAAACTGGTAATCTTTAACAAATTACCAGCAAGAGTAGTGACATGATAAAGGGGGCCGCGCAGGCCACCTATAGCGTGGCGGCCGAAGCCTTCAGCTTGGCCAGCCAGATCCCGTAAGGTGGAGTCCACATGAGCATACGGCAAACACAAACCCATGTTTATATTTGCTGAAATTGAAGTTTGGGTTGGGATTTTTGGCACAGAATCACCGCATTTATATGGAGGATGAGGATGGTGTTTGCTGTGTCCTGAGGAGTAACGGCCGAGGTGATTCCCCATTAGATGCTAATATAGTTCTTGAAACTGAATGTCTGGCTATTAATTATCTTCAATTTATGATCGCCTTATCCGTTTGATTGTAAATTTTTTTTTTCCCAAAAAAATGGGTTTTTTCACCTAATTTACTATTTTTTTAATGTCGTCGACATTTTTTCCCGAAAGATATTTTCCTACTTTTAATCACGTGACATATTTTTCTTAAAAATAAAGAAAAAAATATTTTCTTTATAAAGATTTGATTTTAATTTTCGAGGTGATTTACTCTCTGTATCTCTTTCTCATTTATCCACCAATAAAAATTGGACAAATATAATATTTTTTAAATTGAAAATTAAATCAGACAAACACATTTAATTAATAATTTTCATACAAATAATTTCTAAACAGTTGAACTGCCTATAATTTATTTTATTTTCATACAAATTCCATACTTATAGTCAAACGGTGCACCTAAAGAAAATTCCCTAAGGTGAAAAGTGGAAATCAACAGACACTTCTACTTTCTTTTATCTAGCCCATCTTTGATTTCCATTATTTTCTAAATATATTTTTCTATTTCTTCTTTTTAGCCACAATGTTGGATTTTAAACGTAAAATAATAAATAAGTGAAATAGAGAAATTAACACAAGTATTTAACGTGGTTTGACGATGCCACGTCCACAAGAAGTACAGCGGAAATTTTTATAAAGTATGAATAATAGGGTTATATCATTAGTATTTATACTAACTCTAGTCCAAGTTCATACAAAACTTTAGGGTCCGTACAAGAAAATGCATGCGCCGTTCCGCTCCGATATCGACCTTTGATCCAATAAACTTGTGTTTCATTCTATGTTTCATTCTATATAAGTCATATATACAACACACATATTTTTCAATAAAATAATATTACATTTAAACCAAAATTTTTCTTTATTTTTTAACTGCATATTCTTCATCAGTTTATTATTCAAAAATTCATTCTTTGTCAAATAATAGGGCAAAAACAAGGACCTAATATCAATTTATATACTTTAGAGATCTTGAAGGATTTTTTCTTGCTTTAGCAATTTGGCTTTTTTGGGTAAAGGCCATTCAACCTAAAATAAAAAATTTGAGGATTTGACATTGTCCTTATCCAAGCATATTGTTATGAACAATTTCAAATAACTTATTTAAGATTAAATAGATTATGACTACAAAATGTATCGAAGTTTATATTTCTCTTTAGAGTTATGTACAAAGTTATGTTATAAAGTTGGTTGACAAAATAACATTTACACCAATCATTTTAGAAACAAGTTTTTAAATCATTTGAAATCAACTGTCTGAATTTTGTTAACACACTTTGTAACCCAACTTTTATAACTCAAGTTTCTACAAATAGTTTTAGTGTTCTCTTTATGGTCTATTTCGACACAATCTACTACATAACACAAGTCGTGTTGAAGGCCTACAAAGGTGGACAGATGAACTCACAATTATATATATTAATTAAACTATGATTCAATTTCACTAATGAAGATTGAATATATGGTTGATTTTCATTTAATTTATGCATTTTTTATCTTTATATTTCATTTACAATTTAGAATTTTTAATTATTATTTTTTTAGTAAATAAATTTGGAAGAATTTCGATTAGGACTTTTAATTTTAGTTATTATCTTTTAGTCATTACTTTATAAGAGTTGTAAGCCTTCATGGAATTGAAGATGTTTTGAAATTAAAATAAAATATTAATTGTTGAGATTTTCTTTAATTTTTTACATTTTCGATATTTGATATTTAAAATTAACGAGTCTAAATCTTTGTATTCATGAGCAAATCAAAAGTTTTTTATGCCTTTTTTTAGTATTTTAAGGAATCTACAGATACTATAAGGCGATCGTCTTGAGGTATTTCTTTAGAACTAATGAAACTTCAATAGTGGGTTCATTCGTCATTTTCATCGTTTTCGCCCCGACATCAGTTGATATCAGAGCGATGTTCATTCCTAATATAGACAAGCTACTATTAGTGGAATCCAATGTCATAAGTTTAGTTTTGGGTGGAATCCGATGTCATGAGTTTAGTTTTTGGGACGAAACCTTTTTAATCCGAATGCAGAAAAATATTTGAATTTGGATGATGACGACTACGACGGCTCTTAGATTTTCAACAAATAAATTGAAAATTTTGGGGATTTTAGTAATTATAGTTACGATTGGTCTCTGATTTTCGATAACGAAATTGAAGAATGCATTGATTTGTGTGACAATAGATACGACGGGTCCACCTATGTTCTATGAAGAGCCCGGTGTCAATGTCTCTAATAGATGGTCTAAAAAATATTGAATATATTGATTTTCATTTTATCAAATTTATCTATATTTTATATTTCATTTACAATTAAAATTTTTTTTTATCTTTTAGTTAGTATTTTTGGTAAATAAATTTGGAATCGAATTTTGATTAGGAGTTTTAGTTTTAGCCTCTGTTTGGTAGGCATTTTTTTGAGAGAATGCATTTTTTTGGTTGATGTGATAGGGAATATGTAGTTAAAAAAGAAGGAAAATTTATTGATGTGATAGAAAATATTATTTTATTAAAGAATGTATGGTTGAAAATAAAGTAGAAAAATGAAAATGAAAATAATAAAATGCCTTCGTCACTGTAAATTTTTAGTCATTGCTTTAAATAAAGGTGGCAAGTCTTCATGACACAAAAGTTGTTTTCAAATTGGAATAAAATATTAATTGTTGAGATTTTCTTCAATTTTTAAAATTTTCGGTATTTACATTTAAAATCAACAATTCCTTTCTCTGTATTCGAGTGTGAATCATAGTTTTTTTTATGCCTAAATTTCGTGTTGCTGTATTCCTTTCAAATCAACGAAACTTTTGTTCGACATTTTTATTGATTTCGCACCTACATCAACTTCCGAATTTCATGTGTCTCATACGTAATTCGTAAATTTGAATTGGTGAGTTTCTAATTTTCTACTAAACAAAATTTCATTGCCTACAAAATTTGTAGCATCACGAAAAGAAAAGGGGGAAAGTTGTCATTGTAAAAGAATTCTCAATCTCATTAAAGCTGGAATTCACCAACTCAAAAAGTATAACCATTCCCATTTGTCTTATAATGGTTTTATACAGACCTAAGAGGGAACAATTATATGCACGAAAAGTATTAAGTACCATACCCATTAAAGTTACTTAAAACCTTGTTCTCTAATTGCACGAAAAGTATTAAACAGGTCAAATATACTTTTTATTCACATATTTCGTAGAACTCACAACCATCCACCTATTATCTATGCATTTCGTAGGATAGGAACGATCCAATACCGGACTACAAACCAAATTAATATATTTATAAAAAAATTACACATGAAAAAAAAAAAAATTTTACACAAAAAAAAATGAAGTGGACAGGGGACTGGATCGAGCCCCCTTACATCCGTCCCTGCCATAAGACGGTTTTGAACATTCGTGGAAGATGAGAGAATGAGTTGATCATCATCATCGTAGAAATGTGAAAAATCACATTAAGTCACCTATAAAATACATTTACGGATTATATTCACATAATACCCAGACGGACACGCTTGTGTACTATACGGCATATCTAAAGGAAATTCATTGCACAACTTAATTCGAAGAATAAATTATGGCGCTTATTCTAGGAAACCTAACCATCCGACGCCCTTAATTTCGTCATGATTTACATTTTTTGACTTGTTAGTGTTTCCTCTAATTCTGTATTTCTAATACTCTTTACATTTATACTATATATAGAGCTTATCATATAAAATTAAAAATGCAAAAAAGTTGCATCAAAAGTTTAAATCTTATATCCTTTTAATTCTTATTTTATTTAATATATTAAATAAATTATAATTTATCCACCAAATGATAAATCAATATTCACAAAGATATGATTAAGGTTAAATGACTTTACACGAAAAGGTAAAATAATTATAAAATTAAAATAATCTATTTCAGCCTAAAATAAAATAAAGGAAAAGACAAATAAGAAAGCAAATATAATTATATGTAGGTATACATAATAGAGAATGACATAATGGAAAAATTATATTAAGGTGTTAGGTTTCTGAAATTTTCAAAAAGGAGGAATGACTATTTAATTGTCATAAGTGAGAACATTTTTAAAGTGTGCTCTTATTAAAAATTTTACTCTTTTGTTTTAAATGGCAAGTTCATTATTGAATGACAATTGTGCCCATCATCCTCCATATTGACCATCTAGATATTATTTGTATCTAATATATTTGATACATATACTTGCATAGTGATTGAAACTTGAAGTTTTCGAAAGTACTGTTCAAATTATGAGCATAATTTGAGATATCTATAAATGGTTTAAACGCGTCCTATTAATTTAATTGAAAACAAAAGTATTTCTCATTTTTCTGTTTACGAAATGTTGTTATGCATCATGTCAACATCATAGTTCTCTCTATTATAATTTACTTATGGTCAGAGCCTATTTTTTTCGTCTAATTATTTTGTTAATGCAGTATAAGTCAAATTAACCCGCCACAATGAATTGAGATGGAAAGAAAGATGATGAGAATAAATGAGTAATATGAACTCTTATCCCAATGGATGATGTTTTATAACAAAGTAAAAATGATTGTCAATTTGATGAATCTCTCAGCATTATGGGATGGAATTAAGAATTTGATAATAATGTACAAATGCATCATTATCTAAATCATCGTAAAAGAAAAATCGAACCAGAAGTTCGAAGGATAACTAATTTGAGAATAATGCTATGTGCACACCTTGTGATGTACACAATGCATTACAACTCCTCACATGGAGGGGGCCCACAAATATTTTATTGTGTGCGGGACTCCCTCTATGTGAGGGGGTGCAATGCATTGTGTACATCATTGTGTACACATAGCACAATCCTTAATTTAAATGCATTTATTGACCAAAGAGTCTAACAATCTTACACATCAGTTTTAAATGCTTCAACTCGAATTGATTTTTGGAAAGACAATTCGT